TCTGAGCTAAACTGGGGTCTCCTCACCTGATCTAGCCCAGGAGGACACCCAGGAATGTGCAGCAGGCTGTAGCACATCTCCTTTCTCTGAGAGTCCCTGGGGTCAGGACCGAATCGCCCTGGGCAGAACCTGGGGTCAGGGTGGGGCTCAGCCTGCTGGGAGGCTAGTCTTCAAAATGACCTTACTAACTATTGCCTGGAGGTTGTCTCATGGGGTCCAGGGTCAGATGCAGGAGCCAGCCCAGTGCTTCCAGAGGCTTCCATTCCCCGCCAACCAGGGCACCTGGCCAACTAGGGAGAAGTGAGTGGCCACTATAAACCTAGCACGCCTTGGTTGACATCCTCTCCATTACCATCCTATAAGGAGGGAAACTTATTCTCAATTTAGACAAGGAAATGAGGCCCATTGTCTTGCACAAGGTCAACTTGAGCACCAGCTCAGCTAGCGATTGTGGCAGGATGCTCCCTTTCACCCCAAAACCTGCCCAAATCAGGTCTCCATAACTTTAGCCCACTTCCCAAGTGAATGTCACTCATCTGTTTTTAATCACCATCATCCAGAGGCCATTGGAGCAGTGGGGGTGGAGGGGTAAGGTGGGGTGTGGGGGACTTGCTCTTTCAGACTTCAAGTACAGTTAGATCCAGGAGTTAGGGACCTAGCTGTGCTCATGACTTTGGCAGCAGCAATGCCCCATGAGGCATTGTTACCTCCATCATACAGGCACCTGCTCTCTAATAGCTGGGGGTTCAAACGTCTAGACACTTAGGACTTGGGGAAGGAGTTATGGCTCCAACACATCCTTGGGGAGCCCCGGCAGCCAGCAAGTGTTTAGTGCTTCCCCGGGGCTCACCAGAAATGGCATGCAGGGCTTTCTATTCTCCGTCTGCTGAGGGTGCACCTTCCCTCCTGAGACAGCTGGGCTGTCCTCTGACCCTGCACAATGCCACCCCCACAGAGGGCGTGGAGTTCTAGCCTCCAGCATAGGGCAACCTGCTGGAGCCACTTTAAAAGGTAACGATTGTAATTACCTCCCTGTGTCAAGTCTCATGAGCAGAAGCTTTAAAATGATCTTAGGGGGCCATTAAAACCTTCATATCAATAAAGGCATTTGTGCAAGTCACTAGTATTTAAAGTGATAAAGTGATGAGCCTGCAGTTAATCCCAGAATGCCACAAAGGCATGTCAAGGACATAAGACACATTCCAGTCTCTTACTCCTCAGGAGGAGAACCTCATTTCTGGGGAGTTGTCCTATTGTGAGTGAAATAAGTTGGGGTTTTAGCTCTGATGTGACATTTGTTGCAAAGCTGCAGGTCACATGCTTTTCCTACAGTCTCCACTCTGAATAATGCCGGCATGTGCTCACTCCTTCATCAACCACTGCCAATTTCTTGAGCTTCTCTTGGGGCCAGAAGCCCAAAGGTCAGTTAGGGACTAGCTCTGTGGGAATCGGGTCTCGGGTCACCTTCCCAGCAACCCTTCAGGTTCGTTTTATTATCCCCATTTTAGAGATGAAGAAACTGAGGATCATAGACTTGCTTGGGGATGCAGAACCAGAGGTCTGGTGCAGATCTGCCTGGCTCCCAGTCTGAGTCTGATTCCTCCACTTCAACACCTCCCCCTTCTGGGCTGGTATCCAGCGACTGTGTGTCCATTCGTTGTGGGTCTCAGCTTCCAAATTACCCTGAAGCAACGAGACCCAGGGTCCCTGTTGAGTTGGTGTCACTGAGATCTCTGCGGTTGCACAACCCTGACTTAGCCTATTGGGGACATGATGATGGCGGCGGTCTCTCACTTCAAGGGGGGCCCATTCAGTGCCATCCTCTGTCGAGCTGGATCTGAGGCTCTCTCCACACTCCCGCAGGGTTATCTGAAGATTTTGGTCGAAATGGTATAAACAAAGCTGAAAAGGGCAGCAGGGAGAGGGATTGTCTTTGGCAACTATTCAATGCATCCTTGCTCCTGCATCCTTCTTGGATCCTTTGTGGGGAAGAGTCTAAGCACCTAATTTTTTTTAAGCTGTGACATTATTGTCATCAAAAGGTTTGCCTCTAACCAATTAAGTCCTGTTAGAAATGCGGTTTGGAACTTACTATGCAGATTTAGAGAAAGAGCGGAGAGTCAGGGCCATCCAAACATCTCCCATGGTGGGACCTTCAATAGGGCAGTTGTCCCTCCCAAGACATCTGTGCCCCTCCCCTCCGACCAGGGCGGGTCAGGAACACTCTACTCTGGCTGCACTTTGGAATCACCTAGAGCTTAAAAAACACTGATTCCAGGGCCCCAACCCATCAGAATCTCTCAGTGGGGCCTGGGAAGGGGCCTTTGTGATGCCCCCTGAGAGTCCTCGTGGTGGGAGGCATACAGCTGCACACATCCACTGGCCAGGCACCTGCCACCTCCAGTCCTCAGCATGATGTCCTCGCCATGTCTCCTCCTGTTTGTGCTCCGGGCAGTAGGCCATTGGCAGCTTCAGGAGTCCTCACCAGGACTCGGCTTCTTGTACTTGGAAGGGGGGTGGGGGCGGGGGTAAGGTGGCCAACTCATCTGCCATTAATTGTTGCCTCTAAGGACCAAACCCTTGCACTGATCATTTTGTGCAAAGAAATGCTTCTCCAGAAATGCTCCTCCTTTTTTCATATGAAGCTCTTCATAAAAGCATCATTTAGCTGCAGAAAGTTCCCTGTTAAGAGAAAGAAAAGACGACTGGCTCAAGGAAAGGGCAGAATAGGTGTTTCCCTGTAATTGTCTCCCGGAGGCAGTCCTTCCTAGCTTTCAAATCCCCTCACCACCCCCGAGAAACCAGAGCAGGAATGGTTCCAGCCACAGCATGGCCTTTTCTGATTCTTTTGAGCCTAAACTGTCAGCATCTTTCCCTGGGACACAGAGGCCTTGGCACTTTGGGATGTACATGTGTTGGTTTAAGAAGTTCAGGAACACGGATTCAAAGGTGAAGGTCAATCTGCCTCTTCACAAATGGCCAGCACTTGTGAGCCCAGGTCCACGCAGAAGCAGGTGATGAGCAACAGAACATAAACTGTTGGAAAATGAGAAATCTGCTGGTGAGCTTCAGAGAAATGGGATGAAGACCTGCGCAGTGTCTCTGCGGTCCAGTTGCAGGCTGAGGACTGAGCTATATGTCCCTGCGTCTTTTTCCGGCCGAGCTGATCTGGAGGTGGGTGGGTAGGAGGCGGACGTGCAGGAAAACAGCCGTGTCCTTGAGAAGGCCATGCCGAAACAAGCAGGCAGGCAGGCCAAGCGGGGCAGCAGGGTCTGGAGAGTGACATTTGCACAAGGTCCCAGCAAACACAGTCACCCCTCAATTCCTGGGCGTGGCAGGGTCACATGTGGAGTCAACCGTCAGCCCTGTGTCCTCTCAGGAAGCTGTGGGCAAGAGTCATTGAGAACAGCAGGATGTGTAGAAGTCAGGATACATTAAGCTTTTTCCTAATAGTGTTGCCGGAGATAATCCCTAAATGTCCAGCCTCCTTACACCATCGGGGCCCAGTGCAGGCTGCACCGCTGGTGCCGCTGCCTCTCTGTGCGCCTGCCGTGCACTTCTCATCTGTTGTGTTTTCTCTTTAGTAGAAATGTTTAACTTCTGAAAACACAGACACCAACTTCTGAATTTAGATTCCCAGAGGAGCCCCTGGTTCCTGGACGTCACAGACATGTGATCTGTGTTTAGAAACACTCGGGCCCTTGCCTTTTGTAAAGCTCCCAGAATCCTGAGTCCTTCTCATTCCATACTTGTTCACAACCCCACCGTGGCTCTTGAACCCGCCCCGTAGACCATGTCCATTCCACGAGGCTTCAGACCGTGTGAACTGACTCGAGTGCTAACCTAGTGTTCCAAGTTGGATTGCCTTACATTTCTGTGCTAGACTAGCACAGCTCAGCTCAGAGCCTGGCAGTAGCACCTGGCACATTGATGGCAGCAGGCCGACAGGCATGGGGTTTACTTGCCTGGACACCAGGCTTGGGGTGCAATGACCTACAAGAGTCTTAGAGGCAGGAGACTGCCATCCTTGCCCTGAAAAATGGAGAGTTGCCACGTGAATTTCAGAACAGAGGTGCGCATGTGTGTTCTTTTAGGAGCAAAGCCCTGCCTGGTCCCTGGCAGCGCGAGGCTGTATCATGCGTGTGCAGCCTGAGGAATGGGACGTGTTATAGCGCGAAGTGTGAAGGGAGATGGGGCAGCACAGCAGTTGTGTCACCATGGGGAGTGTCAATGCCTGCTGTTCTAGATAATCCATAGGAAAGGTTGGTTTCTTGGCTGCATTCATTGGGGGAGAGAGAGAACATAATGAAGGCTGGTGGCATAAAAGGAAAGAGTGGCCTTGCCCAGACCCTTGCCCCCTTTCCAGCTGAGCTCCTGGTGTGGTACTGAGCCTCTGTTTTCGTGTCTGTTAAATCAGGATAAACCCTCACCTCACAGCATCTGTGTCGAGATTAAAAGACTGGGCATCTATGACTGTGCCCGATGCACCAAAAGATTGTCACTCAGTAGATGCCAGTGCCCCCGCTCCCTACCAAGGGTACTGAGGAGACATCACTTAGCTCCAGGACATTCGCTCTCAACATGTGCTGAGAATTCACCGTTTGCCACCTTCCATGTGATTCTAATTTCAGCATTTCACAGCTCACTTTTGAAATAGCATCTTTCATCCCTGCGTGTCTGTGCACAGTGCAGAAATGAGAACAGTCCCCTCCACAGGCAGAAGCGTGAGATCCAGGTTCATGCTTTTCCTGGGTAAACACAAGACCCAGCCGAGAAATGGGGTGGGGCAGGAAGGCCTGTACCTGCATCAGGGTCAAGTTCAAGGAGCATGTGTTAAGCACCTACTGTGTGTCTGATGCTTTTGCACCCAGTGGTTCTCCTTGGCAGCTAAGGAAACAGAGGCTCAGTGATGGTCAGCTCTGTGTCCACAAGCATGAGGCAGCACGGCCAGGAATCAAGTCAGGTCTCGCTCCCTCTGCCACACATCTGATCAGGCTGGTGACCATTTCTGTTCCCCTCCAAGAGAGACCGTGACAGTCGGCAGATTCTTTCTGATCAGAGCAGGCTCCTTTGGCTACACTCACGGGTGACTTAGGTGATTCTGCCCCTGCTGTGTGTTTTCTAGAATCTTCTGAGAAGTGGCTGGTGCAGAAGAGCTCAGCCGGGCAGCTCCTGCAAGTAATTCAGAATCACCACTGATGAGTGATCGCGGGGAGGGCTACCACACAGAATCGGGAGCGGCAAAAATAGACGTGGCATTCCCGCCGACAGCCCAGTGACCACCTCTCGCCCACTCCCACAGGATCTGAATCAGCCTAACTCAAGGCTGTCTGAGTCAGAGCAGAGAGAGTCCTAGTGCACGCAGCCCTGGGAAACAACCCTGGCTGGTGTTCAGTTTGGGTGTCACTTTCCTTAATTTGCTGTAAACTGTCCTGTGGGCAGAGCTGGGCATGGATCCCACTGCACTCACACCCTTGTTTTCCTCCCTGGTTAGGTCCTTGCTGCGAAGGTTCTCAACGTTGTCCTACCAAACATGTCCCTGGGCCCGATCGACTCCAGCGTGCTCTCTCGGAATAAGACGGAGGTGAGAATCTTTCTGAAAACCAGGGCGTAGCTGGGGCTGGCGAGGGTGTGAAGGCAGCAGCCCCAGTGGGAAATCTGAGTGTTAGCTCTGTCTGTGGCATGGTGCTGCCCTGTGGCCGAGGCCCTGAAGGAAGTGATGGGGACATGAAGGTGCGGGAGATGCCGTCTGGCTTCAGGATTGGGAGGGAAGGGATACGTGGTCGTGATGCCTGAGCTGTGCCCTAAACGTCAAAGAAGCTAACCAGGTAAAGTTGTGTGCATATCAGCCAGGTCTCTTTGGGTTGTCAGTGACAGAAACTTAACTCAAAATGCTTTAAGCAAATTTAAAAGTGAAATTAAGCAAAAGTGAAATGTGTTGGTGAATATACTACAGGCCTCGGGCATGGGTGAATCTGGGGGCTCAAAAGTCTGGTTCACCATCCATTCTCCCAGGTCTCATGTCCCCTGGTTTGGCTTCATTCCCAACCGAACTTTGCCCAAATGGAGGCAGAGATGGTGCTGGCAGCTGTACATGAGCCACCCCAGTGGAAAGGTAGCTCTTTCCAAGAACAGTCCCAGGGCTGATTCTTATTGGCTGATTGTCCACGCCTGGGTTACTTGTCCAGGAAAGGGGTCAGTGTCAACCCCGCCCAACTTCAAGGACCGAGTGAATGGGAGGGGGGCGAAATTGGGATAGAGTTTCAGAAGACAGAAGAATGGATTCAGGCCAGGCCAAGTGCCCTGTGGGCTGTGGGAGTGGTGCAGGGCTAGCAGGAATCAGAGGGAAAGGTCAGGTGGAGGAAACGGCACACGTAACGAGCCCTGGTGTGGAGAGAGGACAGCCCATGTGCAGAACAGCCGGTAGTTTGGTTCAGCCACGTGTAGGGCAGCAGGTGAGAGTCGAGGACTAAATGAAGTCAGATTATGAGGTTTTCCAGGAACCCCATCTTCCAGGGCCACTGCCCTGCCAGGAGCATGTTGTCGCCCCCTGAGCAGTGTGGCCTTCTAAAAAAGAAAACCAGAAAAAGGAAGAGAGGAGAAGGGAGGGGAGGGGAGGGGAGCGAGCGGAGGTAGGGGAGGGGTGGGGAGGGGGAGTTAAGAGGAGGGAGGGAAGGGGGAGGGGAGGGGAGTGGCAAAGGAAGAAAAGAAGATAAAAGCAAAGCCAACTGAGAGAAGCTTAGAAAGGAGGAAGCAAAGTGGCTTTGGAGAAGAGAAGCTTGGGGAGGCTGTCCCATCCGTGTCATTGCCTGTGGCCCCAGGGCAAGGAAAGGTCC